CCAAGGCAGCTGGAGAGTTTGTAAACTTTCATATTTCTGGACCCACACTAATTGTTATCCAGTAAATCTAGAGTAGGACCCCAAACAGTTTTCTAGCAAGTTTTCAATGACACTGATTCTGATGCTGCTAGTGTGGGAAAGTCCCATCTAGGGCTTCTGTTTACAAATTTAGGATTGGAACCTTGTTCTAATTGTAGTGTTGTTGTGTAGACTCCTTTGCCTTTAACTTAACCTGTAAGAATGCAGTTATTTTGTGATTTTTTTGTTTGGCTGGATTTAAAGTTAGATACATTCTACCATGATCAAAATTAAGATATGATGAACATTCTTCTGTAAAATCTTAATGAGGGATTTTATATCTCATAGTTTATCTCCCCATTAGGGAAGTATGATATAAAGAGCTTTTTAATGACGGGACAATCTGAGCTGGAAGGGGACTCTGTAGAAAGTGGTAGAAATTTGGAGTCTATTTGGCCAAGAATGGAAGCATGAACTGATTCATGACACTTTTATCTGACTTTGAAAACTCAGCTGATGACTAGAGAGTCACGGTGGGAACCTCTCCAATATAGCTGTGGTGTAGAAGCTGAGAAAACAAAGGTCATGACGATCTAAAGTTGGAGGCTGGCAAGGGAAGTGTCTCGTCCACAGCCCATTTGCGTCAGGGCAGTGCTGTAGGTTGTAGACAGGCCAAAGACAGTGCCTGAAAATAGCACGGGAAACACATGGTTTATTGGAGAAAGCTTATAGGAGATCAGTGACTGTTCCAAGAAGAGTTTAGTGGTGACAAGCTAACAGTGCCTCTCTCCCTCACAGTGCTTTGGCAAGTACTGCCTTCTCTCCCTCATGGTGTTTAGTCCAGTGGCTGCTGGCTGGACAAGTGGCATGTCCTTTCCACAATGCCCTCAGTTCTGTACTCTTTTACACTAGCAGAGAGTTTTCTCTGCTAGGCTACAGAAGCAGCGACATCATTAGCATTAGCTTGCTTAGTCTGCTTGCCTGACCAGCGTCTCAAGAAAGAAATAATCTGACGTACATGCAAGACAGCAGCTTTTAACAGATAACACTAACTTGCCCTAGTTCCCAGTGTGCATAAGGGAAAGCCAGTGACCTTCACGATAGTATGTATCTGCACCTTCTGGCCCAGATTTGCTTTCATTGTTCCCTTACTGTGGTTAGTTTTGGGGGAACAGAAAGGAAACATTTGGGGACATGGTGTTTTTCTGTCCCCCTTTGCTTTATGGATAATATAGGAAGTGTATTACAGTGAGTTCTGAGGTTGAGGAAATTGAGGAAACTGATAAAATAGAGGGTGAATAACATTCAGCCTCATATTTGTGTCACAGAAATTTCTTCATATTTTGGAGATTCTAAAATCAAAAACCTGGGAATGTCTCTATTTCAAAAACAGGAGAATGAACTATCCCCCCCCAAAAATACAATTTTTATTTCATTAATTTTTATGTCTGTATAAAATAACTGAGCCAAAAAAATGTAAATAGTGATTTCAGATAACAGGCAGTAACCACTATGATTTGACTCAGGCTCAAATAATTCACTAAAATATTTTAACTCCATCTTGGGATTCTTGTTACATTTTATTTTGAACTTCTCAAGATAATATTCTGTTAACTTATTTTAAAAAGCAACTCAAATCATTCATAACTGTGACTTCATAAAAGATGACAGCAATCATCATATCCATAAGGAATTTTGGCATTTTACTTGCAAGCAGCATTTAAAAATTAAGCATTTTGTAGCTGGCCATTTCTTTGTTCCCAATTCATGCCTCTAATGAGAATGAATAAACAATTAGAGAATAACCTTTCATTCTAATCCTGTTGGTTTTTGTTTGTTTGTTTGTTTTTCCTGTTTTGGTTTTGTATTTTGTGGTTGTTGTTGTTGTTTATTTTGTACATAAAGAATAAAGAACTACTGGTATTAGCTACCCCAAGAAAAGGAAGGTTGACTACAAAAGTACACCTTGAAAGAAAAAAGAACTAGAATTTCAACAGAAGTTATCTGTGGGACATTGTAGCTAAATGGCTGTTTGGGTTTCAAGGAGTGCAGCATCAAAAGATATTCTAGTGGTCCTCAATCTGCATAATTCTTTCTGTACCACTCTTAGCAGGCTTCTCTATTATTTCTGCACCCCTTGGTTTTGCACACAACTCTCTAGCAAATTCTTAGTTTAAATTTCCAAGAGAAAATGATTATCTCAATATAACTTTTCATGATGGTCAGAGATGGACTGTGAACATAGAGATTACTTAAGTCAGGTGCTCACTCCTAGTCTGATCATTTTTACCTGATTGGAATCACCTGGCTGGACTCAGGCATCTGGGTAGCAGAGGCTCTTGATGAAGCAGTTAAGTATGGTAGGTGGTTTTAACCGCAATTGCTTACAGGACAGGATTGAGGAAAAATGAGCCTCACACTCACCTAGGTGCATTTAGGATTGAAACATATTAATAAGATTGAAAAAACAAAACCAACAAGCCAAACAAACAAAAACCCCACTTATTTTGTACCTTTGGACCTGAAATTCTGTATAAAATAATGTAAATATAATGACATAATTATGATCTTGCTTTTTTTCTTGAAACAGACTGAGTAGACCTATAAGAAGTGTACTTGGTTGATCAAAAATTGTTTTACAAAGTTGATGTATCAAGTTATACTCTCACCAGCAGTATGTGATAATTTCCATTGTCTTACTTCCTTGATACCAATATTGTCTGATTTTTTTTAAATTTTAACCGTTCTATTATGGATTTCACCTGCATTTGGGAACCACCAAACCCAAACATGTCTCACTCTCAAGATAGTCCACATTCTCCCTTGAAAGTGTCTTCCTCCTTTACCCATTTTCTTGATTAAAAATGGAGTTGAGCACCTTTCTACAAGTCTGTTGAATATTCAGGTTTTTCTCTTGTGAAGAGCCTGCTCAAGTGTCGCCCCATATTTTTTATCCATTAGTTCTTTATATAGTTTATATATGGACCCTTAATTACATAACTTACAAATATCTTCTCCCAATCTGTGCCTTGTCTTTTGTTCTCTATAATGTCACCCTTCTCTGGAAAGAAGCTTTCAAGTTATCAATTTAAGGTAGTTGAATTTATAACTATTTTCTTTAGTGTTGTGATCTTTGTTCTATTTAAAATTCATTTACTGCCATGAAAACATTTATATCATCTTATAAAAATAACAAAATTATCTTTCACAATTAAATCTGTAGTCAATTTGCATGTCATTTAGGGATACGGTTTGAGGTTGGGGTCATTTTTTCCCCTTTTCCATGTCAATCTCAAATTAACCAAGTATTATTTATTTTTAAAAATACTTTTCTCATTATTCAGGAGGTTCATATTTGTCTTAAATCAAGCCTTCATTTATGTGGAAGTCTGTTTTGGGGTGATCTATTCTGTTTCACTTGTCCATCCTTTTACCATGTCTTAACTATCATAACTGCATCTAAGTCTTGATACCTGGTATATATATCCAATTTCAGAATTCTTCAAGGGATTGAGTTTCTTGGATATTTTTGGTACTTTGCATTTTCATGTAAATTTTACAATAATCATCATATTGTGCACATACACACACACACGTATACACACACAACCCTACTGAGATTCTGAATGTATTCACCCTGAATCTATAGAACAATTTGGGAAGAACTTGAGTTATGATAGAAGAAATAATAAACAGGTAGAAAGGAGACATAAAAGGAGGACAAGAAAAAAAGATATTAACTTGAAGTTCTGCATACTTTTCCAGACTTGTCACTTCCCAAGCCAATCACTCTTTCAGCCCTGTTACTCCCAAACCCCTGGGAAATCTGTAAGTCTACTATGTTGCACCCAATAAATACATTAAACATAATATCTTGAAACCCTATAATTTAGGGAATTTCTAGCTCTAATTACTGACCAGATAATGAAGATCACATCAGCTTGAGGATCCCAAAACAGACCAGACCACCAGAAACCATTTTGAGATCACAGAACTGATATCATTCCTGGGTAGATTCCCATGCCTACCCATAGCCAAGTTTCCTTTAAAAGAAGAGCTGGGAACCCCCAAACCCAAACATGTCTCTCACTCTCAAGATAGTCCATATTCTCCCTTGAAAGTATATTCTTCCTTCACTCACAAAGATCTCTCTCTTCGGATTGCCCTCATTCTTCCTTGAATATGTATACACTTGCCTAAATAAACCTGTCTATGTGTCTATGCTTGATTAGCCTATGCTGAAATTCTTCTCTGTTACACATGCAGAGAATCCCACTGTCCTGAGTCAAGGTGCCCCTTCTCTGCAGGGACTTTTTGGACCCTTTTTTTGAGATGCTTCTTTTCTAGAACAATATTTTAACAATAGTTTTAGAACCCATATTACACCCTTGGTTTATTTAGATTTTCAATTTCTTTCAAAAACTTTTTGTAGTTCTTTCAATCTCTGGTTAAATTTATTCCTAGTGATTTGTTCTCATATGCTATTATAAACCACAATTCTTTAAAACTTCAGTTTTTGTCACTAATCTATCAAAGCATAATTGTTTAAATATTTATTTTTTGCACCCAGCAACTTGATTAAATTTTTAAGAACTGTTTCTTTCATTTTTCTTGATACATATCATCTAGGAAAAATTAGTTTTACTTATTTCTATTCCATACCTGGTTCCTCTTAGCAAATCCTAAAACTCATAATAATCTGAAACTGTGCAATGTGTAGTTTTAGTTATAAATTCAATTTTTTAAAAACTGCTAATGAATTCAATCTCCTTTCTACCTCATGGTTTACTCTCAACTACTTGGGCTGGACCACCACCGCTACTGTTCCTTTCAGTGCGAAGTGTCTGAGGCTAGGACCCCCCACCACACACACACCCCACCCCACCCCACCCCACCCCAGCAGGCTCAGGTCCCAGCTGCGAAAGCGCGCGCAACCGGAACCTCCAAGGTTCCGTCCCCTCACACGGACGCAGCCAATGAGTGGCAGCCTCTTGAGCGCGCCCGACCGGCCAAGATGGCGGCGGCCGTTGGCGTGGAGTCTGGTATATAATGTCGTTGCTCGGTTCCTTCCGTTGCAAAATGTGAAAGAAACGTCTGGTGGAGTGGGGGGAGGACGTAGGAATGAGTCGGCGGAGGAAATATGGGGACAGCAGTGCCCCGAAGAACACGCCGCGTAGAACGGCGGCGACTGAGGACTGCAGCTCGGTGGTCGAGCCAGGCAGCAGGCGGCTGAAGTCGGCCCGCGGGTCGGTTCTCCGCGGGGCTTGGGAAGGCCCTTCCGGGCCGGTGTGGCAGCAAGAGCAGCGTCCAGCACCCGCTTCGTGCATTAACAGTAACCCCGAGGGTGAGACGTGGGCAGCGCTGCAGGCCCGCCTTCGGCCCTGCAGCTCCACGGCCCAGTCATTAATTAACCGGAAAATGGGGGGTGGGGGTGGGGGTGGATTCCGACAGCGTCTTTTCTTTCAGTGAGCCTCTCCCTAGGCTACTCCAAAAATGACCCTCCACCACGCCCCCGAATGTTTGGACCCCGAGGGTGAGCTCGGCTCTGCCATTTGGGACCGCCCCCACCACGGGAAGGGGTGCTGCGGTTTACCTGTTTGCAGGAGGACTGCTAGTTCCTAGGCTGCCCTCGGGTCAGCAGTGGCGGAACTGGAATCAGTCGCCCTATCTATTGCCTGCAGCGTGTTCCCGGGGGAATTGTTCCCTTTAAACTTTTATTTTGACCCGACTTGCTTTAGAGAAGGGGTTGTCCCGCAACGTTTTGAAGAAACCGGAAGTTGCTTGCTGGAACATCCCTTAGAGAAGGAAAGGAAGGGCCCCTTCCATGCTGATCAGTTTTTGATGTACCATGTTGAAAGACCTATTCATAACTATATTAAGAGCAAAACTTACATAAAAGCCTTTTCCGAGAGCGTGTTCTTAAAATACGGCGTTGGCTACTTTACATGGGCTTTCATGAACTCCCAATAAAGCAACTAGAGAATCAAGCCCAGATTATATTAAGTGATTGTAGACAAAACTTCTCCCAAAAATGGATCACGAATTTTTTCTTCGGGTGTGTGTGTGGGGGGGGGGGGATAATTAATGGAAGTTTGATAAAATTGGTGAAAGGTGGCTAAAAGACTTTTACTGAAGTTTCTGTTGGGATACATTTTGGAAATGTATATATGAATTACAAGTGGTTCTCCAGAGTTCCAGGCCCAGTTTTGTAATGAATGGAGAAACTAGGTTATACACTATTTTACATTCACAGAGGTACCAAAATACCTAAAAATGTTTGCTATTCATAGTGTTAAGTTTATGAAGTCTTAATGTGGATTTTTATGCCAAACATTTCAATTTTGATTAAAGTAATATTGTGATGAGAAATTTTTATATTGAACTATAAAAAGTAAGCTGTTATTTGACTGTGATATTATGAAATAAAACAATGCTTTAACATGCAACAATTGTTATTTAACAATATTTTGTATAGAAAGGCATGAAACACCACAGAGAGTGCTGAAAATGGATTTGTTTTCATGTACCTTCAGTTCTCCAAATGATCCAGATGGACAGAATGATATCTTTTGGGATCAGAATTCTCCAATGACAAAACAGTTAGGTAATTTGTTATTAACATTTTTATGTGGATAAATATTTGATAAATGATTAAAATTTATAAAATTTCAGGTAGCATCAGGAACTTTTATACAGCAGATTTTTTTGAGACTTTATTTCATTTTTATATCTGATATTGTCAGTGCATATTCATCTAAGCCATACTAATTAAAATCATTTTTTAAAATTAAGTTTTTTGGTTTAAAATTTATAAAATGTTTTTGTTTCTTTAGGTAAAGGAAGAAAAAAAAAGATTTACACCACAGGTAGTGATGAGATATCAGACATTGTTAATCGTATTGCTCCTCAGGTAAATATCAATAGTTTTATAATTTATTTTAAAGTATTGGAAAATTTGTGCACCTAGGTCTTGTTCAGTTCATTTATATGAAAAATGTTTTTGTCTTTTCCAAATACAGCAGCAAAGATAACTTCTATCTTTTCTATTTCTGAAAGGCGTGTTTTGAAAAAAAGAACATAGTATAAAATTGGTAATGTAGACATCCCTTAGAATCCATGAGGTATTGGTTCTAGGATCCTCCCACAGACACCAAAATCTTTAGATAATAAAGTCCCTTATATAAAATGGTGTACTGTTAAAAATAACCTCTGTATATCCTCCCATTTACTTCCTTTTCCTTCTCTCTCCTTTCCTCCCCTTAGGTCTCATACCTGCTAGAAAAGTACGCTACAACTGAGTTGAAACCCTAGCCATTCCTATATTCCTTAAATCATCTCTAGGTTACTTATACCTAATACCACAAATATAGTTGTTATACTGTATTGCTTAGGGAATGATGACAAGAAAAAGTCTGTACTACTATTTTGTATAGATGCAGGTTTTTTCTCCAAACATTTTCAGTCTGCAGTTAGTCAAATCCCTGTTTGTAGAATCTGCAGATACAGAGGGCTAACTGTATATATTTTCCTAAAAATATATTTTATGTTTATTTTCTTAATTAATTTTTTAAATTTTAATTGGGTATATGTGACAGCAGAATGTGTTTTGATTCATTGTACAAAACTGCAGCACAACATTTCATTTCTCTGATTCTATTTCTGAAAGGCATGTTTTGAAAAAAAGAACACAATGTAGCATCACACCAAATGTGCAGTCACACCTGTACCCAGGGTAATGATGTCCATCTCATTCTACCATGTTTTCTACCCTCATGCACCCTCCTGTTTATGACTAATAATTTTTGACCAGGGCTTGGTTTGTATTTTTTCTTTAATGTTTTGTTTAACAATATATGGCAACATTTTTCAAGGTACTAAAATGATAGAATAAGACTATGAATTTTAACTTTTGTGATATTTTTGTTTTTTGCATTTGTTTACAACCTACAGTAAAACTTTTCCCCACTGAAATTTTTCTTCTTAATACTCCCTGGCTTACAAGATCACTAAGAAATACTTTAAAGGTGGAAAGAGAACTGGATTTACATTTAGTCCTCATTCAGCCTCTGATATGCTGTGTGACCCTAAGCAAGTCATTTAAGCTCTCCAGTCTCATTTTGCCATAAACAGAATTATTGCTTGTCTTGCTCTCTTCATTGGATCATTATGAAAATTAGATAAAAATTATTTATAAATTAGGACACTATAAATGTAAGATGTTAATTGTGATCATTTAATTTTTAACTGTAAAAGAACCATCTTCCAAGAGGCTTTTTTTGTTGTTGTTGTTGTTATTTCAATTCTTACACTGCTTGAGTGAAATAGAAATATAAGTTTAAGTCATTTGACACAAATTTATCCAGCAACTAATATTCATCATATCAGTCCTATCACTATTATTAGGAAGCAAAGGCCCAATCCATTCTGAACTTTAACAATGTTTAAATCCAAAGATCATCTAGTTTTTGCTGTGTCTTCTCTGAAGTAATTGTATTTTTTTCCTAACTTCTCCTTGAATAGTTACTGTATGTTAACCACAGACAATAGATGGCACTGGCCCAAATTGTGGTTATCAGGAATCACCATCATCTAGGTGGAGAAGACAGGAAATAAATTTTTTCTTAGCAGCTATAAAATATCCAAAATTATAGCTAGCACAGTCAAAACAACTTTGTTGCTACTAGCTCCACATTCCACATTTGACATGTCATAGAAATTCATTTTACATACAGTTCATTAAATAGCATTTGTGCCACAATACTACTTACTCTATAAGTTAACAGTAGATCTTCACTAATTGTGAGTTTCACATGAAAGAAGCATAATAAAATGTGTTTGGGCTGGCCAGCCTAAATAGTTATAAAAAGATAGTTGAGTAAATTATTGAATCCTTTACCTAAATGGGCTGGAAATAATAGCTCACATAAAGAAATGGCAATAGTACACAAGTGGTAACTTGTATAAAAGAAAAACTACAGTGAAATTAGTTGCTTATAAATATTACCCTCTTCGACTGAGCACTTTAAAGTGTATAAATTTTTGATAACATCACGGTCTCTTAAAAAACTTGTCATGTTCTCAGAATGACACATCTTTATGTTGTTTATTTTTAGGTGAGTTATTCTCAAATCATTGTTTAATTTCCCACTAATGTTTTTAGAGATAGCTTTTTTTAAAATTTGCATTTCATTTTAATTAGTCATTTTGCTTCCTGCAGCATTAACTTTTTATACAGTGCTATTACTGAGTGGTGTATATCTTCTCATCATTTATACAGCTTTACACAGTATATTCTTTAGGATGAACTGCAGTAATGTTTAGCTATCTTATTGGGCACCTAAATTGTAGTTGTTAATCAGTAAGTATATAATTATTAATGATAAATTTAAAAGGTAATACTTACAAATAGTATACAATCATAAAAAGGACTTCTGACACATAAGGTGGAGTGGCACATAAGCTTTTCATAACTTAATTTTTGAGAAGTAAATGAATTTAAAATTACTTGGAAAGTGAACAGAGTTCATAATTAAGTCATTAAGAATATTATTTCCTTAAATTCAAGATTGTGGAAACAAAATGGGAAATCTGAGTCCAAAAGTGACACTGATTTTCTTGAGTATTTTGCAAAGCTAAAGTCAGTTAGGTTCAACAATCTATTAAGAAAAATAGCTTATTGATTCATTGACTATGTTGAAGTACCAAGTTATAGGGTTGCTTTCAATTTACTTATAAAAAAAATGGCATTTTCTTGTGTTTAGCACTATGCTGGATTGATACTGTTATCATAGGAAGACTCATTGTCTGTGAGTATCCTATAATCTAGCCATAGACTTTTATTTTTTTAACTTTGTGTGATGATTACTTGTGTTCATTCTAGTTACCCTAATAAATATAGTAAAACCTGATTTATGAATTTGATTTATTTAGTTTGCAATTAATACATAAAGCTCATTCTCTTTTTGTTTGATCAAGTGACTAAAAAATATAGCAAATTATACATACTTAATATGACTTTTTCCTAGCTTTTATCCTGGTTAAAGTTTTTTTAACTTTCTGTACCTATTAGGTTTGTTCTTATCCCTACCTCATTCTTAGCATTAGTTCTGAGTCTGCTCTTATCTCTTAATTCTGACTTTAATTCTAAGTGTTCTCAATTTTGGTCAACAGAAATTTCCCAACTTTAGATAAAGTATAATGGGGATAAGGAGAATTTGGACGATCAGATACCATAGAAAGAAATCACCTATGTATCTCTTCATTTTTAATTATGATAACAGTACCACAGGTTGCTGCTTCCTAATAAAAAAGACATTTTTTAAGAAGTGTCTTATAATAGCGGAACTTTATGAGTTTTCTTTTGATAAAAATACGCTTTTACATTCATATATTAGATATAAATTTGAAAAATAATTTATTTCTTAAAAATAATTTTTATTTTATTATTTATTTATTTTTATTTATATATAACAGCGGAATGCATTTCAATTCTTATTACATATAGAGCTCAATTTTTCATATCTCTGGTTATATACATAGTATCCTCACACCAATTTGTGTCTTCATTCATGTACTTTGGATAATAATGATCATCACATTCAACCATCATTAATTACCCCATGCCCCCTTCCTTCCCCTCTCACCCCTATGCCCTATCTAGAGTTCATCTATTCCTCCCATGCTCCCTCTCCCTATCCCACTATGAATCAGCTTCCTTATATCAAAGAAAACATTTGGCATTTGGTTTTTTGGGATTGGCTAACTTCACTTAGCATTATCTTCTGTAACTCCATCCATTTACCTGCAGATGCCATGATTTTATTCTCTTTTATTGCTGAGTAATATTCCATTGTGTATATATACCACATTTTTTTAATCCAGTCATCTATTGAAAGGCATCTAGGTTGGTTCCACAATTTAGCTGTTGTGAATTGTGCTGCTATAAACATTGATGTGGCTGTGTTCCTATAGTATGCTGTTTTTAAGTCCTTTGGGTATAGACCGAGGAAAGGGATAGCTGGGTCAAATGGTGGTTCCATTCCCAATTTTCCAAGAAATCTCCATACTGCTTTTCATATTGGCTGCGCTAATTTGCAGTCCCACCAGCAGTGTATGAGTGTACCTTTTTCCCCATATCTTCAACACTATTGTTGTTTGTATGCATAATGGCTGCCATTCTGATTGGAGTGAGATGAAATCTTAGATCTTAGAGTGGTTTTGATTTGCATTTCTCTAATTACTAGTGATGATGAACATTTTTTAATATGTTTGTTGATTGATTGTACATCATCTTCTGAGAAGTGTCTCTTCAGGTCCTTGGCCCATTTATTGGCTGGGTTATTTGAATTCTTAATTGTGAAAATTTTTTACTCTCTAGAACATAAATGGATCACTTCTTGTAATTTGTTGTTGCCATTCTCCAACTTCTGATTGTGTTTGGGTTTGTTTATAACTCACTTCACCAGAATTTATTGCTTTAGGAAAGTAATTTAAAGTAGTTAGTTTTAATTTTTCTTTTCTTTTTCTCCCTCACTTTTGCACATGAACACTCTCTTCTTTTTCCTTGTGTGTGTATGTATGCTCAGTGTGTAAGTACACCTTCACACCTCTGTTTTCCTCCCTCTGTCAAAGGATGAGAAGAAGCCAACAACAAACTCCATGCTGGGTATGTGGATTGGTGCAGCTGCTATTCCTTGTACTCCCAGTGTAGCGCAAAAAAAATCAAGAATAAAAGTTAGCCGTACAAAGTGAGTTCATACTTTTCAGCTTTTCTAAGAGTCACTGAAGAAATATTTTTAATAATGTTTTTGTGAACATATCAAAATAACAAAATTTCTTTAGTTTTGACATGTAAAATTTTGGAGTTAGAATAATTGTGTTAAATTTTGGCATTTTAACTAAACAATTATCTTAAATAACAATTGATTCTAATGACATAGAATATTGCTTAATTATAATTTTTTAATGTTTAATAGGTTAAAAACACAATATCGAGAAAAAGAACTTATGAAATTGGCTGAACAATTTGATAAAAATATGGAAGAGCTAGATGTGGCTCAAGAGCAAAACAAGAAGAATCATGATTTTATCCAGGAGATTTCAAAAGCAGAGACTTCACATAGTTGTAATGATTATGTACAGATGCATCCCTTACATGATATAGTTCCAATTATAGATAATACCATAATAAAGAAGCCAATGAAAGGAAACACCAGAATATCTGTGGCAAATGATCAAAGCAGTAGTCAGAAGCCATTTGACCAAAATGCTGAAGCAGCCTTTAATGCCCTTTTTGATGATTCTACCCAGAAATGTAGTGGGCAGTTAAGCCAAGATCTGGCAGATGCTTTTTTGAACACTAGAAAAAATGCTTTGAAAGAGGAGAAAATCATTATTAATGGTACTCTGGTCACTGAAAAACTGCCAGGTAAAACCCAAGATTCACTTTATCCACAGGTAGATCCTTCCATAATGACAAAATCATGTATGACTCCCTATAGTAAAGAGCCAGAAGCTTCTAGTAAGCCCATTGGTACATTTACCACCAGTGATTTGGAGGATGATTGGGAAAAATTACTAAGTAATGAACCTTTTGTTATGCAAAATGTTGAAGCTGAACTTTTTCCTTCTAAAACTGCCCAGGTTACTGATCATAAGGGAATTTATACCTTTACTAGTGAATATGGTGGGAGTACATCAAGAACAAATAAAAGTCTAGATGCCAAGTTAGGAGATTCAGAAGTATTACAAGATTTACCTTCAAAAACACATAACAGAGAACTAATAGATGCTGGAAAATACATATTTTCATCAAATCCAAATGATAAATCAAGTAAATTATCATCCACTAGAAATAAAATGAATTCTTCAAGTAAAATTGTTAGTCAAGACAAAACTCAAGATTGTGCAGTTACATCTAATCTGACAAAAGTAAAAGAAGATATCTGTATCAATTTTACTTCTAATGTAAATACTTCTGAAAAGAAGTCTGCTTTGAACACAAAACATTCTAGTGAACAAAAAAATAAGCCCATTTTTGATCCGTCTTTCAAAGCACCTGTTAATATTGATCCCTTTGGCTCTTCAACTTTGGACTGTGAAACAGTTGTTAATAAACCAGATCAGACTAATGCATCAAAGTTAGGTTCTTTCTTTGATGATTGGAATGAACCATCACTTGCCAATGAAATTTTTGAAACATGTCATCGATTAGAGACTTCTTGGGAAACAGATAATGTAGATGATGATTTGTTGTATCAAGCATGTGATGATATTGAAAGACTAACTCAGCAACAGGACATTTTAAAGGACAATAAAACATCAGAAAGTATACTTGAGATCAATGATAGTTCCAAACATGGAGCGAAAAATATATCTACTACATCTAAACAAGGAAGTCAGTTGGCACAATCAAATCATTTGAATCTGGGCAGCATTACAGTGCAGACGTCTTCCTTGACAGTTGACACACAAATAAATAAATCAGTGAAGGTGGAGAAAAGGGAAATGAGTGGAAATTCTTCAGAATTTTGGGGTACTACAACAAACTTGACTATGTACTCTAAGAACTCAAATTGTCAGAATAATAATCTGCATGTGTATAGGAATAACAGTGATGTTCTAATGCAAGTGCCCAGTTCTAAATCAGTTTTTGCAGGAAGTTCAAGTCTGAATGTGAATTCAAATTATGTGAGCCCAGTAATTGCTAGTAATAAGAAGAAACTGATTACCCAGCAACTTTCCCATAGGCCCCAAACAGATGAAGCACAAAGTGAGTTTAACAAAGCAGTTAGATTTTCAAAGTATACTTTTGCAAAGACAAAAAATCCTCAGATTCTTTATCAGCTTAATCAAAATTGTATAGAAACAAGTATGTCTACTACCAAAATTACACAAGGTTTGGAGAAAAAGAAAACTGTGAATTCAATAACTGGGGAAGCTGATCAGCAGATGTCTTTGGTGAAAATTTCTGAGTCTTTGAAACAATCTTCAAAAGGTATGTATGAAACAGTTTCCTTTTAAAAGTAATAAAACTAGTTATTTGTTGTTTGACAGAGGTATATGAGGTAAAAATATGGTTTTTAACTAGAATTCTTAAAGTAATTCTTATAATTAATTATGCTAAGTATATGAAGTATAGGTGGTTTATTTTTCAGAAGATCGCATTGGGTTCTTTCCCATTACTTATAATGACCAACATATACCAGGTACTCTGTTGAACAATTTATGAGTTATTTCTTAAAGTGTATATATTAAAATGTTAGGTTTAACATTGTATGTATTTAATAACCTATTTACTAAGTATTTCGTTGTTTTAAAACTTAATCTTACTCCTACTTTTAGTAGAACAGTGAACAATAGTTGGTTGGCATTTTGGAACTTTCTAATTAAACACCTTTACTAGTATAATATCTGATGTAAACCTCAGTGCTATTTGTAATGGTTAAAATGGTGATTTACTTATTTGATACTATCTGTCATTTTCAATTCTTCAGTTCCTCTTTTCCCTACCTCTTCCATCTGTCATTAAATTCCTTTGATCATTATTTAAAAATCGTATCTACAGATGACCCATCTTTCTCACTCTCTATCACTACCACTTTTATCCAAGAATACATTTCTTGATTAGATTACTGTAGTTATTTTTATGTTTTCCCCTTCAGTTTTAATCTCCAAATAGCAGAATAGTCTTTTTAAAACCAGATAGGCACACATGACATTTCTGTGTGTAAAACAATTGTCAATGGCTGCCCATTGTATTTCAAATAAAATCTAAACTTTACACTGAGATCTAAAAAGTCCTGAATTATGTCTCCTTAACCTGTCTATTTACTAAGGTTCAACTATACCAACTCTTCAATTTTTCAAGCAGAATAGATTCTTTCCTAGATCAAGAAGTTAGATCATGCTATTCCTTTGACTATAACAATGCCTTTCCAAATTTGACCCCACCACCCCACCCTTTTATTGTTTCAACATATATGTTGCGGAGCACTTCCTTGAAGAGTCTATAAGTGGGTCTTTTCTTTGTTTTCTACCATTTCTTAATTCTTTCATTCTTTTTATCACCAGTTGTAATTAAATATTTAGTTTCTGTAATACTTAGGCCTGCCACACCATCTGTCACTTAGAAGATGCATGATCAATATCTGGATGAACATCATGCAATATAATGTAAAAAGCCTGTTATTCACTGATACTATTATATTTTCTATGAGGGAATATGTCCAGCATTAACTATTTGTGGTTCTTAATGCCAGTGCTCTTTCCTATCCTGATGTTTTTGTATAATGTTTTCTTCATCAAAACAGCATCCTCCATACATACATGAAATCTACCTGCCTTTATCCTTTAATATGCAATGTGTTTTTATCTACCCAGAATGATTTACTTTATCTGGGATGCTAACTATTTTTATAGCATTATTACGCTGACTTATAATTACAGATTTTCTTAATCACGCTTCCTCACTTGAAGCTAACTCATACTTTTATGTTGATTGGTGCTTATGAATGAGTTTTTGGTTTCTTTTAGATCATTTTTGTCATTTAGATTCTGAGTAATGCTTTTGTTGACATTACTGCTACAATATTTCTATTTAAGTCTTTTGTATTAGCTTATACCAATAATCTGCTAGTTGTTTAAAAAGGAAGAAAGAAAGAAGTATAAAATAACTCAAAATAACAAGTCTTTTCAATTTCTCATTTTCCAAATTATTTTATCACAGGAAACCACTGTTCATATATATTCAATATACATCATGAAGCATTTTCTGTGGATTTAAAGAAGGTGTTTGTGTACACACATGCATGCACATTTAAATAGATGGAATTATATGCCCACTATTTGGCAACTTGCTTTTGCCTTTATTTAACATATTATAGCCATCTTTTCCTGTTTGTACGTAAAGATTTGCTTACATGAATACATGATATGTTTTATGGATATACCATAATAACTGTTTTTATATAGATGTAATTTAGGTTGGTTGTAGTTTATTGTAATTACAATACTATAGTGAATATTTTACTTAAATTTCTGGTTGCTTATTTGATTATATCTACTAATTTTTTTAAAACATGATATAAGAGAATTTGAATTTTGATGGATGACCAAATTTTCCTCCAAAATAATTACCTCAACATTATTTATCAACAGTGACAGTGAATATTTCTCCATATTATAGCCCAAAATACCAGTAGGTACAACCAATCTTCAGAAATGTAAATTTATTTACATATGGTTATAATTCTATAAATGAGTATTTGAATTTTTCAAAACACCTATCTACTGTCCTATCTACTATCCTATTTTTTTATGGATGGATAATCTGCCACTTACCTTACCAATTTTTCTTGTAAGTTTATCCATTGTCCTTAATCTCCTGATTAGTATTAACCTTGTCAATGTTTTCTGTTTCTACTTACTTGTACTTTGGTGTGTAGCAAGCTGCTCTCCTGGAAATTTCTTTGAAGCAAAATCCACTTAATTCATGGATTTGAGGCAAAGTTGATAACTGGCTCTGGGCTGTATTTGGACAAGCCATAGTTTTTTATATAGCAAGCACACTAAAAATGGTTTTTACCTTTTAAATGGTTGAAGGGGAAAAAAAAAAATCAAAGGAAAACTAATATTTCATTATACTTGAAAATTGAATTCATATTTCTTTGGCCATAAACAAAGTTATTTGAACACAGCACATCATTTGTTTCCACACCATCCATGAGTATTTTCACGGTACAATGCAGGATTTTATGCAATTGTAATAGAGTATATGCTTCTCAAAAATTAACATGTTTATTTCCTAACCCTATGGTGAAACAAAATTTGCTGACCCTTTATTTTAAAATCAAACTTAAAAGAGCCACTTTTGCTTAGTACTATACAATAGTGGGACTTTGCAAGTAGATTTTTATTATATGTTGAGTTAAAGGAACGGCTGATGGGAAAAATGAATGGCTCTCCCTAAATCAGATTTGCATGGTGTGACTTGATATCATTTGAAATTGTTTTCCGTAGTATCAGCCCAGTCATAAAATCAATTTCAGGAAGTTATATTCTTCTAGGCTGATGTGTATTATTGTTTTCTTTCTATCCTTATTCTCAATTGAATGTAAACTGTATATAAATTCTGAACTTTGGTTTCTTGGCTGTGAGACTAAATTATTAGCTAATTAGTCAAGCTAATCATAAAGTATTTTTTAGTATTTTTCTGGGAAAGAAAAAATAGCTTCAGTCCATTAGGTAGCTAGCTTGGGAAATATCTACTGTCCTATCTACATTTTTTTACGGATGGATAATATGCCACTTACCTTACCAAAAAAGACATCAGAATCGTGTTGGGATATATATATTTCTTACCCTAAATATCCTCTTCTGCTTTTCATTATACCAGGAAAGGAAGGTATATTTTGTGAAATGCCTCCTTTAGTCAACATGAGAAATGTCTTATAATAGACATAAACATAGTTTATCTTATAATAAAATACATTGTTTGAGGTACCGATGTCTAATTTAATTCATTATGTTTTTACTACTTTTCTACTTAAGTTCATATAATGTTTTTAGAATCCCTGTTTAAGATCTATACATTTATAGGTTATATGAATTAGATTTCATTAATCCATAAGAATTATTTGTTGGTGATCAACAAAACAGTTTTCAATCAAATTGAATTTTGTCACACAGAAGAAAAATGCCTCAAATAGGGACAGAGTCATCAGTGCTTGATTTTCTTTTGACCTAGAACATTTGTATCTATATGTATATACTTGGAATTTTACATTTAGTAGTTTAGTATGATTTAATAGCTAACGCAGCATAGTAAATGAGGATGATGACTTTGTAAGTTACAAAATTAATACATATTTTGTTTAATTTTTAGAGGAAGAAGAAAAAAATAGGAAATATTCCCCTGAAGAAATTCAGAGAAAAAGACAAGAAGCACTGGTTCGAAGAATGGCCAAAGCACAGGCATCATCTGTAAATTCAGCTCCCACTTAATTTCTTTAATGAAATACTGGTTGGAAGACTTATAGATTATTGATAACTATCTATGATAGGAAATATTTTTTCTTGATTTCTCTGTGAGAAATTCTTACTTATAAAGCATGGACTTCTACTTTATTATTTAATAAATCACTGTTTGCAATGGTAAATTAATCCTTTCCTTGAGAATTTATATGAAAGTTTTGAAAAGTTAGCAATTATGTACTAAGATTAGACAAAGGAAACTAGTTATATTTTTAAATATTATGATTTCAGAAGATCATCAAAAATATGTAATTATAAAAATGTGTCTTCTAATACAAAGCTTCAAATTTTTTATGTTAAATAGTCTATTTTGGTAGTTTTCAGTAACTATTGCTTAAGGTTTTTGTACATTTCTAATTTTTAATTAATACTTCCATATTCCTAGGAATATGCTTGGTTTGGAAATAAAAAAACTTTGGTTTATTTGTAGAGAAATTATTATTTTCAATTCCTACTTAGAAGTAGACTTGAAGTGTAATATTTCAACAATGTGATATAATTTGAAAACTTTTTAACATTTTTAGGAAAAAAAAAAGTCTAGCTTAGAAAAAGGGAAGGAATGGGTTAGCTATATAAGTAATATATTGTCATTAACATTTAGAACTGGCGAAACAGACGTTGCCCAATCCAGCTTTATTGTATTGATAAGAAAAATCAGTAGTTATTTTCAAAGTCGTGGGCAAGTTAAAACTGTTCTTGTGTTAGAATGATTTCTTTGGACACCTAGACAGTTTTACCATTTGCTTCAAAGTATTAGTGCATAAAACAACTTGGGCGAGCAGTAATTATTTTATAATACAAGAAACATAATTAAAAGCACATTAAGGACTATTTAATACAATGCTCATTACTCTTTATTTTCAAGAATTACTCTTTCCAGGATATAAGAATGAGAGTCTTTCTCTTTTTGGTTTTCCTATAACTGCAGTTTTCTCATCAATTAATTTTATTAATTTTGCTCCATGTTTCTGTCTTCCTTTTTTCTCTTCCTATCATGGCATGGTATTCGCCACTTCTGGTGTCTTAGGGCTATGATAATATGGTAGTTATTGGTCTTTGGGTATGTATCATTTTGTAAATGATATTTTTATGCATGAGAGTAACAGATTTTAAGTAATCTGTATTATTTGTCTAAGAATGTATACAAAATAGAACCTAAATTCTTTTAAGTTTCTGTGTAAGAAAATGAAGGGAATCTTTTACTAAATTGGCTTCACTGTGATCTGACTATGCTTTGAATATCTCTCTCTTTGCTTCAATTCTTCCTTCTTGCTGCTCATTTTCTTTAGAGTGCTTTTAGTCCATTCTGTCCATTAAGACTCAACTAATAAATCTGTTTCTTTTTTTTAATTATTTTTTATTTATATATGATAGTGGAATATACTACAATTCTTATTATACATATAAAGCACAATTTTTCATATCTCTGGTTCTATACAAAGTATATTCACACCAATTAATGTCTTCATACATGTACTTTGGATAATAATGTCCATCACATTCCACTATCATTTCTAACCCCATGCCCTCTTCCTTCAAGAAATATTCAGCATTTGGCTTTTGGGGGATTGGCTAACTTCACTTAGCATTATCTTCTCTAACTCCATCCATTTACCTGCAAATGCCATGATTTTATTCTCTTTTTTTGCTGAGTAATATTCCATTGTGTTTATATGCCACATTTTTAAATCCATTCATCTATTGAAGGGCATCTAGATTAGTTCCATAGTTTAGCTATTGTGAATTGTGCTGCTATAAACATTGATCTGTTTGAGACTCATACCTGACCAACTTCACTGGAATTGATTTCTGTGTGACTCCCTTTCTTTTTAAAAGGAAACTATTTGGCATTTCTAGATGGTGGGGGGTGTATTGGCCCAGCACATATGAACCTGAGCATGATTGAGTTTCTAGGGTTACCCTTGCTGTTCATACCACTCTTCTTTCCTCTTGCTTTTCTTCTTTTAGCCATTGTTAGAAACACTAGGTGTTGAATAGGCCGAGAATGGGCATGCAGAGGAGTGCCTAGTTTGTCTGGTTTGGTTCTTTCTAGTCTCTAGGGAATGTATCTCCATAAGGTGAAGGAACATATGGTAGTCTGGTAGCTCTATTCTAGCTCAAACACTGTTGCTGTTCATGCAGCGCAGAAAGACTGCTACCATTAATACCATTATTGCAGAGTGGAACCTCTCCTTACTCTTTTCCTATTCTAAACATAACTTTGATCCACAGAACACATGGGTTATTTAACTGCAGACACAGTCAGTGGTATATAGACATGAACCACAATGTGTATAACATTACCTTATATCAATATACACTACCCGATTATAACTAACTTTTAACAAAAACAGAGATACCTTACTCATCTCTAATTTCTTGATACTAATATTTGGAGATTACTCATTAAATTTTGAATGAATTTGCATAGACTAAGGTTGTAAGAGATTCTTCCTTGTCCTACCTGCATCAGTTTGACTCATTCCCTGATCTTCAGGGTTGGAAAATGATTCTAGGAACAAATTAAATTTAGTTTAACACTGATTATTGGTGTAAATGATAATTTATGTAGAATCCAAACCATGGTTTCCATGTGTTGTATTCATAATCACTTGTGGAATTTAAAAACAAAACACCAAACTTATCTTTGTGTCTTTTCTTATAAATGGATACATATAGCAATTGATTTCAGGCATGTGTCTTTAAAGTTTATTGGCTAGTAAATCATAATTGCTAAATGTTTTATTTACCAGAAATGGTTTTAAGCACTTTAACTGTATTATTTCACATCTCAGAAAAGTCATTTATAAAGTAACAATTTGCTATTTTTAAAATAGGGAAAGTAAACAAAGTAAACAGATTAAATGACTTTCTCAAAATCACACAATTAGAAGTTAGAGCTGAACCCAGGTATTGTGATTTTTTGTTGTTGTTGTTTTTTACAAGTGATTAGTGTTATAAGTCAGGAGTAGAAATGAGGAACAAATAGAAGCATGTGACATCCAAACACAACCAAATTTGCTATTTTTGGGGGGAAAAAAATGATGATTATATAATTAGCCACTTCCTCCCTCAGAAGCTTGTTAGAGGAGAGGAGGGAATGAGTCCTCTGGCAGAGCGAATAGGTGTTCCTGGGTTTTAGAATGATCTCTTGGGGCTCTTTCAAAGCCTGTTTAAAGGCTCACGCTGAGACTGCATAGTGAATACAGCCAGACCCAGCAGAATGCTGAAGCCCTGGGCACTGATTTTGGTGTGCATTATGGGCTGGGATTCTGGCTCTGGTCTAGGTGGGATCAGTAGAGGCCATGGGTGAGGGTGGCCTCCATGCACATACATTCTGTTGATTCCACTGGGTTTTCATGGGTCTTAGAAAGGAACTTTTCCTTAAACTATAGTTTGCTGTGGACATTGAAGCAAAAGCCCTCAATGACTGGGGACTGCAGTGGTCCAAAGGGAGCTTCCAGAGTCACTGAGCCAAGAGCTGTTAAGTATGAGGGGGAAAAAAAATTGTGATCTTACCTATTGAATATACTGTCATCTGTGGAAACAATTCATAAGAACCAATGATTTATGGAAACTATTTGAACAAGAAAGAATTAAAGCATTTCAGGCATTTGTGCCAGAAATGAGTATTCTGTAGGTATTTTAATTTCTTAGCTCAGGAGAATTTCCAGTCCCAATTTGTGTTTCAGGTAACTGCTGAGCTTTATGTATTTGCATGGGTGAATGTTGATTGTATGAACGTACATTGAGGTTGCCTTTTTTTTTTCCATTCAACTATTAAATAGAATAAGGAATTACATAAAATGTGAAGCTGTTTTTAAATGTCTTTATTTTGTTTCATTATTTTAGTGTTACTTCTGGGTGTTCCAGTTTTAAATCAATTGAGGAAAACTTAAATTTCCTAAACTTAAGATATAGCATACCTCAAGTGGCTAGTGAAACTCCAATCCAGATAGTAAAATTAAGGTTTCTGATACTTGCATCAAAAAACTTTTGGCTTATGTGGGTTCTATGTGTTCATATTTACCACATTAGATATGATATTTATTGGTACATTTTTAAGATAGTTATGTTGATGGACATTTTTATGAAACATTTTTTTCTAGAAAAATAGCATTGTTTATATTTTTGGCAAATCTTTCATGTTTGACTTTACAGAAGATAGCTATAGATTCTCAAGTTTGTACATTTAATTCATTGTAATATGTTGTTACAATTGAAGTATCTGAAGAAAGGAAGAAGTGTAATAGTCTTTTCAGGTAATTTTGGATATTCTTTGAAAAGTATCTGTTTCTTTAATTAGTTCAAAATGGAATAACGGGAACTACATATACTCTTCTTGCTGAACCCACCAAATTTAAAAAAAAAAAAAAAAAGGACTACATGAAAAAGTGGATTTCAGCACACTACATATCAAACAATTAGGAAAGTGGAAATATGGGTCTATATAAATGAATGATGAACACTGGAAATACAACACTTAAAAAATCCTGTTTATACAGTGTATTAGGATTCTCTAGAGGACTAAAACCAATGGAATGTACATATAATTATAAAAGGATTTTTATTAGATTGACTTATATGATTAGAGGCTGGATAGTCCCACAGTGGCTGTCTGCAAGCTAAAGAGCCAGAGAAACCAATAGTCCAAGAAGTAGTAAGCCTCACAAGAGGAAGTAAGGATGCAGCAGCAGTCCTAGACTGAAGGCCTAACAGCTCCCTAGAGGGTCACTGGTGTGAGTCCAAGTTCAAAAACTGAAGAAGCTGAAGTCTGGTATCAGCAGGTGATGGCAGCACCAAAAAACACTCCTGCTCAAAAAAAAACTGAGCTTGCACAGGGGGCCAGCTTTCTACTCCATCCAAGGGTGAATCTTCTTACCTAATTTAACCATAGGGCAATCATCTATGCAAATACCCTCATAGACACCCAAAAAGAAGTGTGCTTTACCAATTCTCTAGGCATCTATCTTGAAATTTACAACCAAGATTAACCACCACAAAAGCATTTTAACTGAATAATTACATAAAATACAACGTTTTCAGCTTGCTCAGTCAACAGGTACAACACAATAAATAAATCAGGATGAGTGACCAATCATGTCACTTCTTTCAAAAATATGCCTGTGATTACCGCCTATGTATAATTCAGTTCAAACACTGAATGCAAAGTTTGTTGTATTATATTTTTTCCTGGTAAGACACTCAGTTTTTGACATGTTAGGAAAACAGATAATTGAAAAGCAGGAAGGATGAAAATGCAGCAAAAAGCATGTACTCACTTTGCAAGTGAAAACAAAGTCCATTATAAATGGAGTTATAGAAGGAATACCTTGCAGAGAATGTTAGTACCTTTGAAAGGACTAAGTAGAGGTTGTGATAAAAAGAATGAAGATGTGCCAAAGGAGGTGACACTGGCAAAAAGAACTTCACTTTGGAGAAAGTCTCCTCAATTTAATGACATTAAAAAGTACAATGTTTAAAATGCTGGAAGGTGATCCAAACTTTGAAAGAAATACAAGTCAATGGCATAGAGATGTTTATTTTAAGTTACGAGAGGAAGAAAGGTAAGTACTGTTTAAACTATGTTTTTAAAAAGATTCTTAGAATTTCTAATGTTTTATATATCAAATATTTTCCTGTTTTTTTTTAATTATACACTTACCACTGACTGAGAGCTTTTAGTTTTTTGAAGACATTTTAAAAAGTCCCAGAACAACTTAATTTTCCTGTATATATTAAGTTTATTTTGTATAGTTTAAGCGTTCATGGTCATTTCTATGGTCCTTCATTCTCAGGCAAAGCATCAACTGCCTGTATGTGGTAAACATTTTATACTTGGCATGAAATAGTACAACATAAGTGTATGAAAATAGAATGCATAGACTGATAAATTGATGAATCATATGGTAAACCCTAAAGCAACTACTAAAATAACACAGTTATGTCTAGTAATCCAAGATGGGAAAACAGAAACTTCTAGAAGAGGAGCAAAAGGGGAGGGGGAAGAACAAAGGGAACAAGTAGAAAATCTAACTCTGTAAGGGTAAAATCTATCATATTACATCAATAAATGTGTAAGATAAATAGTCTAAACATTTCAAATAAAATTCAGAAATAGATTTTTTTTAAAGACCAAGTTATAGTCACACACTGCTTATCAATGGGGATTTATGTTCTGAATGCATAAGTGATAAAATAATTGTGTGAACACCACAGTGCACATGCACAGAATAAGATGGCTATGATGTCATTTGGTGATCCGATCTTACGGGATAACCATCAAATCAATATGGGCAGTCCCTCATTGATTGTATATGTTGCATGACTGTATATGCTGCCTACAAATATACTTATAAAACACAAAGTAGATTCAGCTAAAAAGATGGAAAAGATTTTGCTGACATTCGCCAAAAGAAATATTGACTGGCTTATTAATTTTATACAAACTAGATTTTATACAAAGATTTTTATTTGAGATGAAAGTCATGATGATGTAGTGAATCAAATTTTTATGCATCTTTTTTATGACAGCTTCAATAAACATGAAATAGACACTGGTAACTGAAAAGAGAAATTGACAAGTCCCTAAATATAATCTGAGAAATAGGTAGAAAATCAGCAAAGGTAAAATAGTACTATAGTACATGATATGATAGAACACTCCACACCCAACAATAGAAGAATGCACATACGCAGGCAACATTTGTCAAAATCTACCATATTTTGGACAATAAAATAAGTCTCATTTTGGAAATCTCAAGTCATTCGAAGTACATTTTCTACTTTCAATGGAATTAAATTAGAAATCAATAACAAAAGGATTCCTAGAAAAATCCTCAAATATTTGGAAAGGACATCTCTAGACACTATGAAGAAAAAAATTTAAGCAATTTTAAAATGAAAATGGAAACAACACTAGAATGAAGTGTGCTGCTAAACAAGTGCTTAGGGGAGTACACATTAAAAAAATAAGGCCTCCAGTTAATGATCTTAGCCCTAAGAAAGTAGAAAAAGTGAACTAAATCAAAGAAGGTAGAAGAAAGAAAATAAGGTCAAAGCTGATTTGATGAAACACTAAAAAGGTAGGGAGGCAGGAATCAATGATTTTCAAGTAAAAGTCATGAAAATCATTCAAAGTCAATAAAGAAACATTAAAAACCTACACATTACCAATAGACTGCAAAGAAAGGATGATATAAAATTATAAATGATATTCACCAACAAATTCCATAGTATAATGAAATGGAAAGTTTCTTCAAAGTCAAGCATTCACTCAAGAAGAAAGTACACAGACAACCCAATATTGTTTAAATTGATGTCTTCAACATCCTCACATAAAGAAAAATTTAGGCTTTCCTAGTGTATTTTACCAAACATTTTGGGGAGAATGTTACCAATTCTACTTAATCTCATGAGAATTGAAGAGGATAGTGTTTCTCAACTCATTCTGAAGTGAGGCTTACATTGATATGCAAATCTAGAAATGGGGATGAAAACTTCAGACAATATTACTCATTAAATAAGTGCAAAACTTGCTAAATGAATTTTTAGCAAATCTAACATAAGAAGAAGAATGCATCATGACCAAAAAGGCAAAAGTTTATTAACCATAACAACAAAAGTACAACTGACAAATCAAAT